ACTATAATGGGGAGGCTATTTTGTATTACCATTCGCGAGAGGATCTATTCTTAAAAGAAAGATGTGCTGAATTTATGAGGACTCAAACATGGAATTCGAAGACTTGGTCAAGGAATTGGAACTACTTGTCTTCTGTTGTGCTTCTTTCAATACTTGCAGAATCCCAACATATTTCCGAGAGCTCTAAACTTGTATTTTTTGTGGTAAAAGGTCCTAAACCTGCGAGTGAAAATTTGACGGGCCATCTGCAGGTTATTATATTTGCTAATCCCCTCTGTCTTTGCGATACGACGCGAAAATGATATTTAAATTGATGTGGTGAAGTAGCCTAGGCTCTTATGTGGGTGTGAGTCATCTCTGAGGTTATCAACGATGTCGCAAAGTCTCCACTAACAGGCAGTTGTTTGACAGGCTGTTCCCGACTGGAGCTTATGGCGCAGGGCCAACAGCCAAAACAGATTTGATATTTACAAGTTTAGCTGATTTGGGAAATACATTAGCAGAAACCAACAACGTTTCAGTTTGCTCTTAAATCACCGACCCCAAAAGACTGCGATGCAATCACAGTGACTTTTGCTGGAAATTACGGAGCGGAGCCCTTACCTGTATGCCTGGGGACTGAACTTAAATCTTTGAATTTCACTTTGACAGGGGACATTTCTCTAAAGTTTCAGCCTTCCAGTTTTACTGGTTCCTGGGTTAGTAATTTTGCCGCTAAAAATTCCACATGCTCGTACGTGAGTACCACGCGTGTCTGAGGACTGAATTTGAAGTCTCCAAATCGTACGTGGGCTGGAAACGTCCCCTTAAAATTTCAACTATCAGCTTTTCTGGTTCCCGAGCTAGCAATTTTCCCGCCAAAAACCCTCACAGGCCGTACGTAAGAACCATGCATGCCTGGGAGCTGAGTTTGGAACCTTTAGCCCATACACGCACAGAGAATATCTCTAAAAATATTCAGCCCCCACTCTTGTTTGATTCCATAAATCGTCTTCCCGCTAAAAAAATTTGCATGTTTTTCAAGGTGTCTGTACGCAGTATCCAGCGTACGCGGATGATAATATTATAACGGAAGGGTTACATAAGCAGTGGGCGCATACTCCCGTCTAGCTTGTTTGGTTCTGGAGTTGAAAGTGGGTCAAAAAAAGTGCGAACACAAGACACAGAAACACACATACACACAGTCCTTGCCAATATGCGTTTTTGCATTGGCATATATGTAAGAACGTAC